GCCCTAGTTATTTCTTATTAAGCTAGAACCTTATTCTTATTTACTTATTATGAATAAAAATGTACAACCAAAAACTGGCAAAAAACCTAAATGTCTATCATCTAGTGAATAGATAAATATTACGATATACATATCCATATACTGGAAATCTACTGAAATAACAAGGTCATGCATAAAAATAATTATTTAATTCATGAATGAAATAGTTCTTTCAGATTACTAGAACCAAAAACATGGTTGATTTTTGGGGGGTTAGTTTATTTTTTTTCTTTCTTTTTTTTTAAACTTTTTATTGGTACCGGGGATCGAACTCACGACCGCCTGCTTGTAAGGCAGGTGCTTATGCCGCTGAGCTAAATCCCCAGCCCCGGGTTAGTTTATTTTAAAAGAGCAACTAAGCTGGCCATAGTGACACATGGCTATAATTCAGCATTCTGGAAGGTTACAATTTAATGATATACCAAGACCCTGTCTCAAAAAAGTAAAATAAAATAAAAAATAAAAAGAGCTGAGGGTATAATCAGGGGTAAAGCACTTGCCTAACATGTGTGAGGTGCCAGGTTCCATTCCCAGTATCACAAGTCAATAAATGGAGGGAAAAAGGAAAGACAGCATGATACTGCCTCTTGATTTTAGTATATGTGATGCCAGAGTGAGCACTATTCGCAGAAAGAATACTCTTTTTCGTTTTTATCGGTACCAGGGATCGAACTCACGACTGCCTGCTTGCAAGGAAGGCGCTTATGCCACTGAGCTAAATCCCCAGCTCCAGAAAGAATACATTTAAAGCAGAAAGACATTTATCTAAAGACAACAGGAGGAAGAAAGTGCATAAAGCCCTAAGAAGACAGGGAAAGATTCACCTATTCTTTCAACCTTCACTATTTGCTTACTCTGTGCCAGACAGGCCCTGTGTGATCACTCCTGACACTCAAAGAACACAATGCAGTAAAGGAAATGAAATAATGAATAATTATTATCACAATCAGGAGAGAAATTTTTCTACTATTATTGCTGTTCTTTTTGGTTTGATTTTGGAAATTCTGTTTTTTCTCATCAGATAGACTCTTACTATGTTGCACAGGCTGGCCTTGAACTGGGTTCAAGCAGTCTTTCTGCCTCAGCCTCCCGAACAGTTGGGACTACAGATGCATCTGGCTAATTCTTTCAGTTTTTAAGTCACATTTCTACGTTCCTGTGTGCACCTGTACTACTTACACAGTATTTGTCACATAGTGCTTTGTACACTTTGTAGGTTGTAAACTGCTCATGGTAGGCACCACACACAAATTGGTTAATTATGGATTTAAAAATGAAGTGACTACCCTAGAGAGGTCAATTGGTGGGCAAACGAAAAATGCTAATGAGTAATTCAATAAATGCTATATATAGTAATAAATATTATACATGACATTCAGGGTGTCAAAAAGAAGTGGTAATATAACAGATCCTCTGGAACATAAATTCTTTCATTCCATTCATTTGCCTTACTAACTCCCAAAAAAGCCTTTCATCTTTACTCTCTTCATTATTTCATAGTGTTAAATAAATCATTAAATATCACCATTGCTTCATGACTTGTGAAACATGGCACTCTCTCTCTCTTTCCTCTCTCTATCCCTTTCTCCCTTCCTCTTTGTCTGTCTCTTTCTCTTGAGCTACATCCCTAGTCCTTCATTTTTTATTTTGAGGTTTCCTAGACAAATTGCAGTCCTGCCTCAGTCTCCCAAAGTGCTGGAAATAAAGGAACATGCCACTGTGCAGGGCTTCCACAGCCTTACTCTTGCTCTATACTTGTTTCTGCAGTTTCACCTATTTCTGCCTCTTTAACCATCCCCATGAAGATTTCTAAATTTCCTTTAGTTCAAGAACACTGCTTTCTACATTCCAGAACCAATCAGATATACATAGCACTGAACCTTTAAACTGAAACTACTGAAAAATATTTATTTTTGTCTCCCAGTCTGTTGCTCCTCCTTCCTTCCCAAGTTGTATCAGTCCCACCATCCATTTGCCCAGTTATTCAGGGATAAGACTTTAGAGCCAATCAAAACATTTCTCTCCCTGTATATCCATGTTTTAGTCAAGTCTCATAAATACTTTGTCTGCATTGCTATCATTGTAGTAGCAGTCCTCAACACCTAGAGAACCACAACAGTTTCCTATACTCCTCTCTCTAAGCCCTGTCTCAGGCTATTCTAATTTATTTCCTAAAGAAATACTATATCATGGCCTGAATGCTACAGATATGATAAAAACATCATTACTACTTATAGTTTTTCCAGAGGAGATTACAAATAATGTGTGTGAGCTCAGTCTCATGCATGCTAGGGAAGTGCTCTACCACTGAACTACATCACTAACTAGCCTGATTAGTTCATTTTTTTTTGTACTGAGAATCAAACTCAGGGCCTTGCACTTGCCAGATAGATGCTGTGCTGCTGAACTACATCCCTGGCCCCTATTTAACTATTAATGGCTAACAAATTATCTGTTTAATGGCTTAAAATAACATTCATAATCGCACAGTTTTTATGAGTCAGGAATCTGGGAGCAGCATAGCTGCATGATTCTCGTGTGGGATCTCTTCTGAGTGTGAGGCTTGTCAAAAGTCAACTGGGGGAGGATTCACTTCCAAGCTCACTCCTGTGGTTGCTAGCAAGCCTCCTGAACAACCTTAGAACATGGTTCCTGGTTTCCCTTTCTTCATGCCTAGCTCCCAAGTGATAAGGAGACAAAGAGTCCATGAGGAAGAGAAAAATAATACCCAAGGTGGAAACCACAGTCTAATCACAGCAAAGACATCCTACCATATCTGCAATACTATATTTGATGGAAGCAAGTTACTACGCCTAACCCATACTCAAGGAGAATGAACTTAAGGTAAGAAGTATCAATGCATTTGTGAACACAGGATACTCTTTTAACACCAAAATAGATTCAATTAACTTTCCTAAAGTCGAATCCATCATTACCTTTCTTTCTCCCCTAGCAAACAGTTCAAACCCTTGAATCTTAAACCACTGTAGTGGTACCTACCTGTAATTCCAACACTTAGGAGACTGAAGCAGAATGACTGCTTTGTGTTAAGAGGCCAGGCTGAGCTACACAGTAAGTTCAAGACTAGCCTGAACTACATAGCAAGGGTTTGTCTCAAAAACAAAAACAGCCACTACCACCACCACCTCAACAAAATCTGTACCTTTCCAATTTCTCCAAAATAAGTATAAACCATTGTTATGTTTTGCGTCTAGGTATCCCTCCAAAACTTCATGCAGTCATAGGGGTAGGCTTCTAAAGTTTGTGATTGATTCATGGTCCAATGCTGGGATCATGGGTGTGAGTGCTACACCCACCGTAGGGTGAGTAGCCTGCATACAATATAAAGGAGGGAAAGATGCTTTTGCTCTTTTGCTTCTTCTGATGCCATGAACTTTGCCCCTCAGCCATGTCACTCTGCCTTGGAGCTGAGTGTGGACTAAAACCGCCACAAACTCTGAGCTAAATAAACCTTTCCTCCCTTAATTTTTAATTTTGTATTTGTCCCAGCAATGAGAGAAAAGTAACCAAGACAACCATCAACTCGGTAATTAATTCCTTAACCTACTTTGCTAACTTCATTTTACATTCTTTTGTATATCCCTCCTCCAGCCACTTGTTCCCAAACACATCTAAGCTCTTTCAACTGAGTTCATGGCATTTCCTTGTCACACAAGTTTGGTTTTCAAACTTGAATTCAAGGCACTGAATATCTGACAGCTCCAATGCTGTTTTCAGAGCATTACAAAATGTTGATACGTAAAGCCCAGTGGAATAATTTCTAACACTGTGCTAAAACTAATTTCACCTTAGACTGTAGAATAGACAAGTGGAAATAGATGTCAACCATTTAAAAATCATTTCATCTACAAGCCAAGTAAAAACAAGATGGTTTATTAGAGATTAGTAACATCCTTTCGTGAAAGGAGCACTTTAACTCACGTGGAATACCATCTCCCATTCTTCAACCTTTCAAAACTTTACATAGCTAGTTGCAAAATGACTGGAACCATTCTGAATGTCTACCAAAAAGTTACTAAACAAACTGTAATGTAGCTACATGTTGGGGTGCCATTCGGCCATTAAAACAGACAAAGCAGAGCTTCATATATTGATTTGGAACAACCTTCAAGATATCCTATACTGCCTGGTGTAGTGGTGCATGTGTCTGTAATCCCAGCACTCAGGAGGCTGACCTCGAGTTCAAGACCACCCTGGGCTATGCAAAATGCAGAACAATGGGTATATAAGGCTATTGTTGGGGGAGGGGTCCCTCCACCATAAAGAGAAAAAAGAAGTCTTTCCTAAATAAGGCTAGAACATTTCTGGAGAGTTGCAGGAGATACTGCGGTACAGTAGGTAGTTATAGGAAGGCGCGTGGGGCGGTGGGGGGGGGCCACATTCTACCGTAGTCCATCAGTCTGCGATCCGGCCTCCACACTTACTCTCAGCATAGACCTTACCTCCCGTCTCTCTGAGACCACAAGCTCGGAAGGTCCGTCCCGATCTACTTCCTCTTTGGGAGCCTCACGCCGGCTAACGATGCGCCTGGTGTTTCAGTTCCTTATTTAAGGGAATCCTCTCGCAGTCGCGAGGAGACATCACCTAAAGTCACCCTGCAGAAGGCTGGCAGAGTTAGGACATTGCACTCTTCCGGTAGGCGCTGCAGAGCAGGAGACCCCACCAGGTGACCAGACAGCGTTCTTCCCCCGCCTCAAGGCGATTTCTAGATTCCCTTTAAAAATGACATGTGTAGACAGGTCCCACGCATCCTGGAACGTGGCAGCACTATAGAAGGTGCGATGCTACCTTGGCGAAGAGGCTCTAACTGAAGCCTAAGGGAGTGAGTCCTCCAGCTCCAACTTAGACCTACTACAGGACGCGGGGAACTCAAACTGCGCGCCCTCCCGGAAATGACGCACGAGCTCGGCTCGTGCCCCTTGACTTCCGGTTCCGGGTCACGTTTACGCGTGCGCACAAAAAACCAGCTGCCGAGAGGTTTGCTAGTTTGCACGAGGTGGGAGCGAAATGGAGGACTCGTTTTCCACTCAAGAGTCGGCATTACCCGCCACCTCTAGTGAGCTGACCTCACTAGAGCAGTTGGACAAAAAGCAAGTGAGTGGCCCTTGAGGAGACAGGTTTCAAAGCCGGGTGCCTGTTATCTTTATAAGGCAGGTAGCTTGCAAGGTAGGGCCAGAAAGTATTTCGCGGACTCCGCGCTCTCCCGGAGTCCTAGGAGGATCTCTTTCTGGCTGTGCACGTCAGGTGGCCTGCCTGCTTATTTGCACGATGTAGACCTACTTCGCCGAAACCCTGTAGTCTGACCCTCTTAAATTGGATTGAGATTATAACTAGGGATTTTGTGGTGGGATGAACCTGGCTTTGTTTTCCTACCATTTGATGTTAGCCAAGTCTTTTAACTATGCAGGAGTTTATCTCTTATTTAAAATGGCTCTTCTCTTCACTCTCCAGGATCGTAGAAGGTACTGCGTATGAACTGTAACCCGGAGCCTGGCATATAGTAACTCTGTAAATGCTATTTTGTGCTTTTCCTGGTATTACTGCCTTTCTCATTTGAGGTTGGGAGAAGCTGTTTGCTTCTGGCCCCATCTGGAGAAAAGGCGCGTTTATGTAGACAAGTACAGGCGGCGTGGATTTAGGCATCGTGGGGTGGATTAACTTCCTTGGTATAAATTACAGCACCCTAAGAAGTAGGTATTGGAGATTGTCTATTACAGGGAGTGGAAACGAAAAATGTGTGTATGTATACGTGTGTGTATGGGTGGCGATGAATTATTTTGAGAATATTGTGTATCTGTACTTTGCAGATTAGAAAGGCAGTGGAAGCTTTGTTGACACAGTCGAAATCCAGGAAGAACAAAAATGGATTGCTTTTAAATGAAAATGAAAGTTTATTTTTAATGGTGGTGCTGTGGAAAATTCCAGGAAAAGAACTGAAGGTCAAATTGTAAGTACTTATTTTCTATTTTTGCTATTTTTATGTACTTATTCCTTCTTTATAACCTTAACAGTTTCACCTTAGTTTCTTGAATGGAAACTTTGCAAACTCAGGATGAAAAAGATGAAACAAAATAACCAGTATTAAAAGAACTGTAGGAATTTAGACTTGATGAATTTTTCCAAAAATTCCACTTTCCTGAGGATGGTTATCTTTTGGTTGAAAGCCTAGTGTTTGAGAGATTGAAGATAGAATAAGTACCTTTTGTTTTTCAGTGGAACCTGGTATCTTCAAACTGAAATGGGTACCTGAGGACCCAACCTCACTCCTTACAAGAGGCTGTTAAAAACATTGAACTCCTTTCTATAGGAAAAACCCCTGTGTTCTTACCACTAGGAGCCTTAGATTCTATAGAATTGATAAATTTACCAGATAATTCTTTTTGTATAAATAGATCCTAGGCATTATTTGGAATCTACTTAAACTCAGAGATTTTTGGAACTGGAAACGTGACACATGCTTATAACCCAGAGGATTAAAAATTGGAGACCTGACTTAGGAAAATCATGTCTCGCAATTTAAAGTCAGGGTGTGTAGCTCCAATGCAAAGACCTTAGATTCAACCCCCAGTACAATTTTTTTTTTTTTTTTTTTTTTTTGGTCTTTTTTATTGGTACTGGGGATCGAACTCATGACTGCCTGCTTGCAAGGCAGGCGCTTATGCTGCTGAGCTAAATCCCGGCCCCCCGCCCAGTACAATTTTTAAAAAAAATTTTTTTTTGGTTAGCCTGAAGCTGAAATTTGAGTGTCTTGTTGTCTGTCTAGCAGCCCTACTTTTCTGTCAGGGTCAGCTCTGCTTAAGAAAGCAGTGTATAGGTTTTCTTTTCCCCCAAAAGAGAAAAAGTGGGATGGTTAGAAAGAAGAAAGGTAGGGGCCAGGGGTTTAGCTTAATGACATAAGCGTCTGCCTCACAATTCTCACAAGCATGAGGTCATGAGTTCAATCCCTAGTACAAAATAAAAGAGGAAAGGTACTCCATTTCCAGACTCTTAGTCATTGCTATCACCTGCTTATAGCACCTACTGTCTCATAGCAAGTTACATGTTATGTATGTTCTGGATTATAGAAATATTGTTTCTTCAGGACACTTGGGCTAAGAAATGACTTGTACTGTTTTTCAAGAGTCGGTGTAGCCACGAGTATAGCTCAGCAGCATAGTGCCTACCTGGCAAGCATGAGGTCAAGAGTTCAATCCCTGGTACCAAAAAAAAAAAGAAAAATTGATTCAGCCTAGCAGTACACGTTTGCTGCTTGGTCCGTCTTGGCTTGTTCAGTGTTTTGGGGTCCAACTCAAATTCCATTATTTATGCAGCTAAGACTTTTTGAAAAGATAAAATTCTAAGCCTGAACTTCATCAGTACTAAACTGATGAAGTTATTGTGGCATGTTAAAGTACACGTGCCTGTATGGCAATAGATAAGTTATAATAATTACATATATGCTTATTTGGGTATGTTTGATTACATTTTAACTTGTTATACCCCAAATGTTTTGTTTCTTGTGTGTTTTTTTTTGGGTTTTTTTTTTTGTCTTTTTCATTTTTATTGGTATCAGTGATCAAACTCACGACTGCCTGCTTGCAAGGCAGGTCGTTATGCCACTGAGGTAAATCCCCAGCCCCATATACCCCAAATGTTAGTTGATATTTTGGCCTGTGGGTATTTTTTTTGGCGATTTATTGATTTATTTTTTTATTTTTCAATACCAGAGGTCAAACTTAGGACCTCGTGCCAGGGGCAGCACACTGAGCTATATCCTCCCACACTTTTTAATTTTTATTTTGGGACAGGATCTCACTAAGCTGCTGAGTTACCCAGGCTGGACTGAAAGTTGCAATCAGGATGCCTCAGCCTCCTGTGGTGCTGGTATTACAGGCATGCACCATTCCTGGCTCTTAAAGATGTATTTCTCCAGTGCTGTACTCATTAGTATGGCATGAATAAAGGTTATTAAAGTGACAGTACATACATTGCATATTGAGTGATATAAACATATGTATTGTCTGTAATAATATTTTACTGTGTAGTTCTTTCTCATGTGTTTTGCAGGTTGTTGCCTCATCATATTCGATCAGACTTGTCAGAAATCTGTTTATTTACCAAGGATGAACTCCAGTCAGCTGAACAGACAGAACGCTTCTATAGAAAGCTTTTGAACAAGCATGGAATTAAAACAATTTCTCGGGTAGGTAGTGGGTTAACGTTTTCAAATGATTTAAAATTCAAATGAAGTGATAATAACACTGCTAACATTTTGTAGTATTTTTCTTTCTAATTTGTTGTGGCTCCAGGTAAGGTGTAGTCCATCTTGTCTGTGATGGAAGCGCTATTGAGGTTTGTGGCGTAAATGCTAAATGTGTCCCTGAGGAACTTTTCTATCTCACAGATTATTGTAAAATTTCTCATTTTCGTCATTCTTCTGTACTTGCAGAACATCATGTGTATGTCCCTAATTCTCCCTTTTTTATAGTTCTTGATATAGTTATCTTTATTAGCACCTGGCTCTTCAGCTAGGATCCTTTTTCCTAGGGTCCCCAGCATTTAGCATACTGCCTGGCACATTTTAGATGCTCATGTTCGCTAAACTGTGAGAAGTGTGGTTCTAGGACATTTTAAAATCTTAATACAAATTGTTGCCTTCTCCTTATTTGGGTTCTTAACTTTTTGTATTTTTACTCTTTCTATGTTTTCCAGATTATCCCTTTCCGAACTTTGAAAACAGAATATAAAGCTTATGAATCCAAGCTCCAACTCCTAAATAGTTTTGACTTCTTCCTTACTGATGAAAGAATTAGGCGACTTCTGCCCTCACACATAGGGAGACATTTCTATCAAAGGAAAAAGTAAGTTTCTCAGCAGAGACTAGACTTTAGCAGCATGAAAACATAGGTGTGTACACATTGTATTCTGATGCCTGTGTGGTTTTGTAGAGTTCCAGTATCTGTAAACCTTCTGGCCAAGAATTTATCAGAAGAGATCAACAACTCCCTAGGTGGGACTGTCTTAAACATCTCCAAAAGTGGTTCTTGCAGGTAGGTGACAACACTTACATGTGTCTTTTCAGTCTTACATTTAATAGTAATGTGATTGACTTTTTGAAAAGGCAGTGTTAATGAGACCAGGCCCCTCTGTTCATAAAACTGAAATCCCTTCCTTAGACGTATTCAGTTCTCTGGAATGGTGCTGCCTACTAGAACCTTTTGCTCTGGTGGCAATTATCTCTGTCTGTCCTAACTGTTTGACAGGAGCCACTGGCCATGGAGATTGCTGAGTACTTGAAATGTGGCCACTGTTTCTGAGTAACTTTCTGATACTGTATGATTTAATTAATTTAAATAAGTATATGTGGCTAAGGCTGGTGGTTACCATGTTGGACAGTCTAAATAATATAAAGCAAGGAGAATAAGATTAATGATTAGAAGGGCTGGGGATTTAGCTCAGCGGCATAAGTGCCTGCCTTGCAAGCAGGCAGTCGTGAGTTCGATCCCCGGTACCGATAAAAAGGAAAAAGACAGGAAAAAAAAGATTAATGATTATAGAGAATGTAAGCAGTTCTCAGTTTGCATATTATCTTTTAATGTGAAGATCCACATTAGTCCTGGTTTAATTTCTAACAAAGTCAGTGTCCATCCTGGTCCATCATACAGCTCTGTGTCTTTTTTTGTCCTTTTGATTTAATCTTACCATGATACTGAGGTAGGTGGAGCCTCCACACCTAGACTTGGATGGCAAAAAAGATCTTTGAGGGCAATAATTGCCTCCCTGCCTTGGCTGGGCAGAGATTGTGAGGTGGGCAGTTTGTCTTCAGGTAAAGCTGATCTTGGTGTGGGTGGGCTCTGGTGTGCCCTCTGCCATGTGATGGGACTTGGGGGATGCCCCTTGGTTGGTGCAATTAGTAGTTAATAAGAGTTAGTGGTTGGGCCTGGACCTCATGTCCGTGGTTCATGGGGTCAGTGAGTAGTTGGAAGGGGGAAATTGTATCACAGAGACAGATAAAGAGTTAGTCTCCTGCTGCTAGAGATTTTCAAGCCAAACAACTATAGCTTAAAGCTGCAGGCAACTGAAGAAAGAAACTTCTGAATCATTCGTTCATCTTTTTTCTTGCCTTTCCCCAATAAATACAGTAGTTCCTTGTCTTTGTCTTTCCAGCACCCTCATTGTTTTGCTGCCTGGAAGACAAAGCCGTCCTACCTGGCAGGCTTATCCTCATAGGTGGTACGCCAACAGGCACATTGGTGGACAGTGCCAGCCTCTGGCTAGAGTGAGGTGTAGGAGCCCTGGCTCTGGCTTACTCTTTGGTTCCCATGTCGGAAGGTGGCTGGCAGGACTGTTTGGGGACAGGAACCCAGCTGGGCTTCCCACTTGGTACCTGTCCACACTCTGCTTCAGCTGAAGGAATCGTCTGGCTCCTGCCAGAAGACACCGTTACATAAGAGATAGGAAACTTTTACTGTGGAAGGTGGGCAGCTGGCTCACAGCAGAATTGTAAGATGGCAGGTGACTCTCCTAGAAGGGGTTCTCGACCTGCTGAGGGCCCACCCAACCACCTGTGAACTTTCTAGGGAGGAGTTAGAACCTCCTCAAGCTCTGCCTCCTTAACCTCCCACCCTCACTCCACTCTGTGCCTGCATACAAATTGTTTATGGTTGGACATTTCCTTTCAATGAAGAAAAGCCCTGGGCCATAAAAAGTCTTACTTTAAAGAACAACTGGGTTAGGGGAAAGCATAAAAGAAAAGGGAAAATATATGACTTTAAAGATAATATATTAACCACTGTGAGTTGCTTTTTATTTTGTTTTGGAATTCTGTATCCATTTTTGTTTTTGTTTTTAAATAAATAAGGTCTTCCTTTAAATTTTGCTTTGAGCCTAAAACTTTTAATGTTTCTACCTTTTAAATAATAACTTTAGGATTATATACATCTCTCACAAATCTGCCTGTGCCTTATTTTGTGAAATTCTTTGTCGACTGCTATATTGAATTTCAGTTCTGTACGCATTGGTCACACTGGAATGCGGGCTCAAGACATCACTGAAAACATTGTTGCTGTGGCAGAAGGTCTTTCAAAAAAATTGCCAGAGGTATGATCTATACTTCTATCAGTTGATCATTCATTCAGAATAAACTGGGGGGGGGGGTAGTGTTTGTCTGTAATCCCAGCTGAGGCTGAGACAGGACAGTCACAAGTTTAAGAATGACCTGGACAACTTAGTGAGACCCTGTCTTAGTATAAAATCTTAAGAAGGTTATGGGTACATTGCTTGGTCTAACATGAGAGAGCAGAAAGGACCTGATTTTAATCCCAGTATTACCAGAAAAAAGTAAACTATATGTAGATAACGTTCTTTTCCTTTTTTCTTTTCAGAAGTGGGAAAGTGTGAAACTCCTGTTCGTGAAAACTGGGAAGTCAGTTTCCCTCCCCATTTTTTCTTCGTTTGTCTCTTGTCAGAATGAAACCAACAAAATGTTAATTCGTAAGCTGAAGGAAAAAGTAAGTAGAATTTAAAGCACCAGATGAGCTTTCTGAGAAATGTGGTAAACAGACCCTCCATAAGGGAGAACTGGATTGTCCTGAAGCATCCGGAGTCATTTCCTGGTTTCCCAGGGTTGTGCTTTTGGTTCATTGTTCCCATTTTACATAGATTATGAGTTAGGAATTTGTATGGATAAGTAAGGCACATGAAGATAAAAATATTTCTCATGTTGATCTGTACAAAAGGCTAACTAGGAGGAAGCGTGCAGAGGCAGAGAAAAAGTAAGAGGTAAAATGAAATGATTTATCAGTTACTCCGCTGTTGATGGGCAGAACAGAAAGTGGGGGAGGGCTGTGAGACAAGGTGTATCCTTAGCATTCACAGGGCCCTGGGTTCAAATCCCTAGACATAGGGGGGGGGAAAACCCAAGACTGATTGGAGTTGTTGCCCCGTAATAGAACACTTGCTACCACTAGCATGTTAGATTTGATGCTTAGCAGCAGGCCATACACAAAATTGAAGACTCTATTAAGATAGCAGATAACTCCTTAGTTTGCCTTACAAATTTTCAGTGCTATTGATGTAGATACTATTGTATAAGGCCCGAATAAGGTGGACATGGTGGCACACACCTGTAACCCTAGCATTCTGGGAAGCTGAGGCAAGAGGGGCACAAGTTTGAGCCCAATCTGGGCAATTTAGTGAGATGCTATATCAAAATCAAAATTTTAAAAAGAGCTGGAGATGTAGCTTAGTGCAAAGATCCTGGGTTCATTCCCCAGTGCCACAAAAAAAGTCAGAATGGGAACAAGTTCAGTTTTGTGCTATTAAACTCATCTCCATCTTCCAGTTAATTGATTATTTCTTTGGCCATGTTAATTTTATCCAGTGAGATTTGGTCCTTTCATTTTTGTTGCTTTTTATTTTTTGGTGCTAGGAATCAAACTCAGGACCTTGCACTTGCCAGCAGGCGCATATGTCCCTGAGCTATATCCCCAGCCCTCGTTGCTGTTTTATAAGTAATTTAGGAGTTTGTCCTAATTCTTTAAACATATTAAGCAGAATTGTTTCATAGATGTCTAATAATTCAAAGAGTAGACATCTTGATACAGTAGCCAATTTTACCTGCCAGTTTTTTTTACTGCACTTGAAGATTATTTAAAGAAATAATTTCAAGTCCAGTAAGCCCCTAGTGAACATCTGAGTTGCGAACTGTCACAAATGTACTAAGTAAGGCTCACTTTGTTGGACTTGGTTTGCTCTTTTTTTTTTTTTTTTTAACTTTTTATCGGTACTAGGGATCAAACTCACGACCGCCTGCTTGCAAGGCAGGTGCTTATGCCGCTAAGCTAAATCCCCAGCCCCTACTTTGTTGGACTTGGAAACAAATCCAACCTAGGAACATTCTCCAGGAATGACACCCATTTGTAAGTCAGGAACTTACTATACAAGTGTCTTAGTTACTTTTCTCATTGGTGAGACGACCCACAAGTTAAAAGAGGATAAGTTAATTTTAGCCCATAGTTGGGAGGAGTTTCAGGCCATACGCAACTCCAGGAAAGGTGGCATGGCAGAGGGAAACAGTGAGGTGGTAGGCAGCAGGCACGCAGCCTGCCCTTCCCACTTGTCCCATCCAGGCCACCAGTCTTTGAGTAATGCCACCCACGCCTAGTGGGGGCCCTCTGTCCTAAGTAAATCTGTTCAGCCATACCCAGAACTATGCTAATTCCAGTCAGTGAACTAATTTAGTACTACATAGTCTTTTTTCGTTTTTTTTTTGTTGTTGTTGTTTGTTTGTTTGTTTGTTTGTTTTCTTTGGGTCAGGGATAAACTCATGATCTTGCACTTACCAGGCAGGTGCTTTCGCCACTGAGCTAACTCCCCATCTCCTTAGTACTGCTTACTCTTTAATTTCCAGTATCACATGCCCTAGATCTAGCCACAGTGGAAAAGCCCCACCAATGGGTGCATGAGGCTTTGGGGTGGGGAACACTGAGATACAAACCATAACAATTGGGAAAGCAGACCTTCCTGCAAAGAATTTTCTTTTCTGCCAGGCATGTGCCTCATAGCCAGGATAAATCTAAAGCACATTCGACACTGAAGCTTTTCTAGAAATTCTAACCAAACTTTTTTTTTCTTTTTACTGGGGATTGAACTCATGACCTCACCCTTGCCAGGCAAGCGCTTATGCCACTGAGCTAAATCCCCAGCTCAAGCCATTATTATAAATAGGCATGAGCTCTACTTGCTGGTCACTTGTACATTACTGCTACCATGCTTTGGGGTCCCAGGATTTTGTGAGAGGGTTTCCTTGTAGAATCCCTACCCAATGTACGTAACTGGGATTTGATTTCTCTCTACTTCATCCTGTCCCCATCCTCTGTAGCTGTTAAAGGTTAGGGAATCACCAAATAAGGCAACAATGGCTTCACTGCCCACTTAACTCTTAAGACAAGTTTTATCTTGCTTTTTATACTTGTTTTCTTTAGGAAAATATTCCAAAATAATGTAAAACTGCTCTTACTGGAAACACAGAATCTAAATTTTTTTCTTTATGTCAGCAGACATAGTTGTAGACATCATGAAGAAGTTGAAGTTATTCATTAGAGTGGAATTTGATGCTGCTATAGGTTTTGCATAACAATAGTAGAGAAAATGAACTGCTACTTGTATACATTTTTCATTATTTTAACATTCAGCTCCAACTTGAAGAAGAGAAAAATGGTCAGGAAGTGGTGGTACAGTTTTACTGAGATACTGGTTCATAGACCATACTGTACAATTATTTTTGTGTGTGGATACTGCGAATTGAACTTGAGACCTCGCATTTGCCAGGCAAGTGCTGGGCCGCTGAGCTATATTCCTGGCCTACATGTTGTGCAATTTCATATTGTTCATTACTTACCTTTATGAGATTAGAATTTTTTGTAAATATCTACATACTCCAGACTGCCAGCTTCTGAAATACCAATATACAGTTTACTAATGAAATGCACCATTGTCTGAGAGTCAAAACAATTGGAACTGTTGTTCAAGTCCTGATAATGGGATACAGACCTACAAGTGTAGGCTCTTTAGCTTATGAATAATCAGAATTGCTGGTACTAAATCTATATTTTATGCTAATGTTGTGTCTGGTATTTTTTTAATAGGAGGCTAAGAGAAAAGAGAAAGAACAAAAACTTCGTGAAAAACGGAAGTTGAAGAAGGAAAAGAGAAAGTTAAAGGGAAAAGCTAAGAAGGTTACATCAGTCCTAACTAAAGGTGGCGTGGCACCTCAAACTAAAGGTGCTTCTGCAAAGAGCCGTAGGTCCCAGAAGAAAAAGACTGGGAAAGTAAAAACCCAAGTTAAAGTGACCAATGAATCTGATGATGAAATTCCACAACTGGTACCAATAGGCGAAACTCCAGTAAAAGAAAATGTTGAGGTATTTTTATCAAGTTTTAATATTTATAAAGAAATGTTTGGTGGCCACTGTAGGTTAGGCAGGCACTGTGTTAAGTGATAAAAGGTGGAAAATTCTAGAGTAAACTAGAAGAACTATGTAGCCAGTTACTGGGGTTACTTTTCTTATAAATGTCAGTGGAATGTTATCACATGTCACTTCATGGCAGAGATACTCTGAAAAATGAATGTATCATAGGGTGTGAACATCTTAGAATGTACATAATACAAATGGGGATGCAATGCTTCGTTTGATAGGGCTTTATGCAATCATGAGCTGTGCCAGACACTAGGTCCGGGAGGCTGCTGCCAGTGGAATATGGCACTATTTTTATAAGTAGGTAAAATGCGTAGGCAGAAACCAGCCGTGATGGCACATGCTTGTAGTCAGAGCACTTGGAGACTGAGGCTGGAAGATCTAAAGTTCAGGACTGGTCTGAACAACTCAGTGAGGTACTATCTCAAAAAATGAATAAAGAGAGCCAGGGGTTTAGCTCAGTGGCATAAGCACCTTCCTTGCAAGGATAAAGTTGTAAGTTTGATCGCAGTACTGAAAAAATAAAGTAAAACAAATTTTTAAAAAACGAATGAAAAGGGGCTGGGGTAGGTAAATGAATGCACATCAAGACTATAGTAAGTGAAATAAATCAGACACACAAGCTTAAATAGCATAGGGTCTCAGTGCACAAGATTCAAAATAAAAGAATGGGAAGGAGAGATCTTTTTCAAATAGGAAAGGGAATGAAATGGAAGAGCATTGAGGGCTGGGGAGAGCAGAGGATGCAGAGAGAACTAAGGTGCACTATATCCATGTACCAGTTTCCCAGGTAAATGTAATCTTACGTACTGCAAACATGTACTTAATAAAAATGTACGGCACTGGGGTGTAGTTCAGTGTGAAGGCCCCGGGTTTGATCCCCAGAACTTAAAAGAAAGCATGGTATAGTAAATAGGCAAACCAGGATCATGTCATTTATCATTATCAAGTGTATTGTACATAATTCTTTGTGCAACTGTCAGCACAGGTTTGTTCATACAAACACACGAATGTGCTACGTTACAAGGGCTGCAGAATTAATAGGCAGTAAGAATCTTTCAGCTTGGGGCTGGGGATTTAGCTCAGCGGCATATAAGCGCCTGCCTTGCAAGCAGGCAGTCATGAGTTCAATCCCTGGTACCGATAAAAATGAAAAAGACAACAAATTTAAAAAAATTTAAAAAAGAATCTTTCAGCTCTGTTAAAGTCTTATTGGACTTGCAGCATAAATGTTGTTCTCTCTCTGACCAAAGAGTAATTATGCAGCATATGACTATATGGTAAACAATTTTTTATGTGTCTTAGAGTCAGGGAAAGGAGACTTGACCATGTCTTTAATTTGAAGAAACATTTCCTATGGATTTAAAAAGCAGACTAGGTGGGCTGGCTGTGGTGATATGCCTCTAATCTCAGCACGCAGGAGATCAGGGCACAAGAACCACTTAGTGTGAGGCCAGTTTGGACTAAAAAGAAAGACTCTGTCGTGAAAAAAAAACAAAAACACAAAAAGCAGACCAGGAAGGAAATTTGGGGGTATTTTTCTGTTTCTGAATATGACCGCTAAATTGGCACATCATTAATCTTAGAAGATTTTCCAGGACAAAGTTGGATGCTGGATCCTTTCATTAGCACCCCCACACACACCCCATGATTCTTAACAGAAATCTGATTTGTGGGTTTCAGAGTAGATATTTTAAAATGACCATGGTTATCTTTTAGCTCTCTGATAAATGTTTCTACTCGTAGTCATGATGTCTCCCAATGGTTGGGAGATGATCTCTTGAAAATGAGAGCAAAGCCAGGCATGGTGATGCACCCCTGTAACCTCAGCAGGAGCCTGATGCAAGAGGATCACAGATTTGAGCCCAGCCTGGAAAACATAGCAAGGCCCTGTCTTAACATAAAATATAAGAAGTCCAGGGATGTAACTTAGTGCTAACCTCCTGTGTCAACCCCAGTACCATCAGGGAAAAACACCGGGGGGCAGTTGTGGGTCTCTTAAGAGACTAACAGGGTGCTGTAATGATACTCAGAGAACACTCACTGCCCTGTGGACAGAGCCTGTAGCAGGGGTAGCTGAGGGCTCTTAGTGGCAGTGCAGGGGCCCAGGCTATTCGTGTGCTTGACCTGTTTCAAATTAGTAACAGTTATCCTTAGAATTTTCATTTACTAGTAAAAGTATTTTTATAAAGAACTTCCAGAGTACAGTTGAATTTTTAAATATACTTGAAATTAATAAATATTCATAATAAAATTAAATGTTTTTAGAAAAAATAAGCTGCTGTGACTGGCCAGTGATGTGTTAGAAAGTAGATGAGAAAAGTATAGTTGGCTAGGTCGTGTATAATAAGAGCTTTGGAAACACTCAAAATTTTTTAACTCAGAAATATGAGGGTGATAATATATGGCAGTGTCATAATTGTTTACTGTAGAGGAAACAAAGTGAGAGAGTATCGTCCTTGTAACAATAGCTTATTACAGTTACCAGACATTGTTAAGAAGAGTTTCTAGGGGCTGGGGATTTAGCTCAGCGGCATAAGGGCCTGCCTTACAAGCAGGGAGTTGTGAGTTCGATCCCCGGCACCGATAAAAAAGAATAAGACAAAAAAAAGAAGAAGAGTTTATAGTGCCTGGAAAATAATGAAATATTTGGCAGGAAAAGGGCACAATACTCTGTTACACATTCATGGTGGTAAGTAATAGAGATGTTGGTGATAAACTAGGATCACTGGGTATGATGATGTATATTTAACCCTAGCACTCTAGGGAGCTGAGGCAAGAGGATCACAAATTGAAGTTCAATCAAGTAAGCAAGACCCTGCCTCACAGTTATAAGTGGTTGGGAACATGCATCCCTGCAAAAGTTCAGAGTTCAATCCACAATACGGCCCTCCCACCCCAACATACACGCATATACAGAGTTCACCAAAATAGTGTAAACACGCTTCAGTTCACTGCGCTAATAAATGCCTGGAATCTAATGACTATCACTTTGAGCACCTCTTGTATTTGTAGAAGCCAAAGGTGACTTACATTCATCTCGTTATATCTTAATAAATTCAGTATTAAAATATTTATACAAGTTGGGGCTGGGGATTTACCTCAGCGGCATAAGCGTCTGCCTTTCAAGCAGGCAGTCGTGAGTTCGATCCCCGGTACCAATAAAAAAGAAAAAGACAAAAATTTATACAAGTTTTTTGGCACTTTTTGGTGGACCCTGTGTACATGTTTGTACATACACACACAGCAGGATTATTGGGGAATTACATTATTTTTGACGTTTAATTTTTCTATAGTAAAACATGTATTTTTATATTTCTGTTCTTTGCGTTGTTTTTGTCTTAGCCCACTTCTAAGCTCGGCAGTAGAGTGCATTGCTAGGTTCTCACCAGCCATCAGCTGGGCTGGTGGAAACCCAGGATTCCTGGGATGTAACATACTTCCCTCCAGGACCCTCTGAATCTGGCTGTGGGTGATTGCTTTTCTAACAGGCACCCAGCTGGTCTTTACATGCACAGTTTGAATGCCCCTACGCAACCCACCTACAAAAGATTTGTTTGAATTTTGGGGGCGGGTACTGGCAATTGAACTCAGGACCTTGTATGTGCCAGACAGGTGCTATGCCACTGAGCCACATCCCCAGCCCCTACAAGATTCATAACCAAGGCAGGAAAGCATCATATTGCTTCCTACTCTACTACAGCACTTGCTTCAGGATTCCTCTCAGTCATACTCATTGACCAAGGAGACTCCAGTGTTGTTTTCAGTGTCTAGTAATAGAAAATGGCCATTCTTCAGGTCTTCATGCTGAGACATCATTATGGGGTATAATTTTTTTTTAAATGCTAGAGTTGGAGTGCCGGCTTTGTTGTTGGATGGGTTTTTGGTTTTGTTTTATGTCCCATTTGTTTGTTCCCGGCTTGACTCTCTTCTTTTTCTTAGGTACAGAAACATATCACAGGGAAGAAGTCTCCAAAAAAGAGTCCTGGTCCCAAAACACCTCAGGGCAAGAAAAGAAAGGCTCTGCCAGTTCCTGAGATCCCAGATGCAGGTCCAGGGAAGAAGCCAAAAATGGGACAGGAGAAGCAAAGAAAATCCTCACCAGGAAAGAAAGATCTGAGACAGACTCCAAAAAAGCCAGAGGCCAAGCTCTTCACCACTGCTAATAAATCTACAAGGAAAGCTCCCCAAACCCCTAAACAATTACCAAAAGAATCCAAAGTGCCCCAGTCAGCCTAAAATCAGTGACTCAACCAAAAGAAAACACTAGAGTTACTTGAGGGCTGTTGGAAAATCTTTGGGCCCTGGGCTTAGTCTGCTACACCATTCAAACTAAATGAGTAAAATAAAAACACTCAGTTCCTGATCCACCATTGCAGCCTTCAAAAGTGAGGGATGAGCTGGGCATGGTGGTGCATGCCTGGAATTGGAATCCCAGCACTCTGGGAAGCTGAGGCTGAAGGCATGTTGCAAATTGGAGACCAGCCTGGGCTACAAAGTGAGCTAAAGGTCACTTTGAAGTACACAGAAAGACCCTGTCTCAAAAAAAGCATGAATCTAAATCTTTTTTTAAACTACAAGTAACTCTTGACATGTATCTAGTTATAAGAAACATTGCTTAAAATTTTTTCATTGCTCTTTTGTGTAATTGCTAATGTTGGGCAAAAATTAATGCTCCTTTGTGTTTGTCATTTTTATTAGTAAAGTGTCATGTTTGCTTCTTGAGTAAACGTACTGTTGACATTCTGTGTCTCAAGGGTTTGAAAGGGCTGTGATGTGGCCCATTTCTGCACTAAGTGATACATTCACATGGGCTTCATTACACTAGTTAGTGCAAAAGGTTCCAAAACAGCTAGTGAGGGGCTCGGTGCAGAGATAGAGCACCCCCAGGATCAATCTCTAGTATAGCAAGATAGAAGACAAGTCAGGTATAGTGCACACCTGTAATTCCAACATTCTTGAGGGGCTAAGGCAAGAGGATGACAAGTTGAAGACCATTCTGGCCAGTTTAACAAGACCTTAGTCTCAAAAAGCACGTGGGTATAGTAGTAGAGCACTAGCCTGGTATGTGCCAGGTCTGGGGTCAACCCCAGTATGGGGAAAAGGAATAGGAAAATGCAGGTGGTTATCAGTTCACTTCTAACTCGAAAGTTTAAATCTCACCACTTAATGTGATTGTTGCCTGTTAATAAAACTCACATGCAACGTTTTACATACATGAAGTAACAGGAAATGGCATAGTTTTGACTTAAAAAACATGTTAGCGTTCTAGAAGACATTGCTTGATAGCATGCATAAGACAATCGATTTTTTATTATAGATTTCCCTCAGTCTTTCTGTAGCATCCCCTTTCCACAACTGTCTCAAAGCTTCATTGAATGGCCATTCGACTAAGTTACATCCATTTTCCTTGTATTCATTCAGTTGTGTCTATTCCCACGAATAGCTATCTTGAGATCCTACACTGCCAAGTACAGTGCGACACTTGGAAACTGAATGCATAGGTCGACTGCATGGAAGAGCCAGGGTCTGTTTAGTGCAGACATGAAATTTTACTACAAGAACCAGCACTTGAATGCCAGTGGCCTTGATGCCTAAGAAGCATCTCAGATTGCGGAGTAATTGTAGGTGAATTTTTGGGAGGACATGCTTTTGTGGCCAAGGGGGAAAAAATGCTAAAACCTCTTGAGTTATGCTGGTTACCTGAATGAGAAGAGTGCCAGAAACAAATGGGATAAAATATTAGTACCTGTGCCCAGCAAAATGTGCACCTGTCATGCAGAGCCTTGGTGGTTACAAACAGCTAAAGTTAGACATGTAAATAGACATGGGTCTATGAAAAGAAAATGGCATGATGGTAGGTGCCTATAATTTTGGCACTCTGGGAGCTGAGGTAGGAAGGTTGCAAGTTTGATTTCAGCCTGGATAATTAGTAGTCTAGTGAAACCTGGTCTCAAAATACAAAATAAAAACATGCTGAGGTTAGCCAGTGAAAAGGCCCTGGGTTCAATCCTCAGTATCTCAAAAGGAAAAGAAGAAAAAATACTTGTTTTAAAACAAATTTGAAATTCAGCAGTACAGTGGCTACCTGGCAAGCACAAGATCCTGAGTTCGATTTCTAGTGCCAAAAAACATTTTACATATTTCTCATTAAAAAAACAACATACATTAACATTCATCTTGAACCATTAAGCCAGCTTCTCAAAAACTAACCCAAAACTTTGTATACTTTCCTTGTTTACAAGTTCATTTAAAGAAAAGGTAGCTCAGTAGAGCACTTGCCTAATACATGAGTCCCTGTGTTCCATGCCAGCACTGCAGTACATACAACCACAAATGCCCACATGTCCCTGTACACACACAGCCCTGTATGATGCATGCTGTGTGGCTGTCACGTTTTTCACATAGTTATCTTAAGCTTCATTGTCAGTGTTTATATGATGTAGCCAGCATTGTAGTCTGGCCACAAGTATTAATGGACAGGAGGAGGATGCTCCTCACCTAGTGATGCTCTGTATGTCTCTGGTTCTTTGAAAGTGTGAGAAATGCTTCATTAAATATCCATATGTTAGAGTACAGACATAGAAGTATGCATAGAGGTCAAGGTAAGCACACATACATTTTGAAAGATGTTACTTTAAAAAGCCTATACAGGTGCTGGGGATTAAGCTCAGTGGCATAAGCACCTGCCTTGCAAGCAAGTGGTTGTGAGTTCGATCTCCAGTACCGATAAAAACGAAAAAGACAAAAAAAAAAAAAAAAAAGCCTATACAAAAAATAAAAGTGTGTGTCTTAGTTACTTTTTCTCATTGCTGAGACAAAAATACCTGACCCCTAGAGTTAAAGGAGGGAAGGTTTATGTAGCTCACAATTTGATCAGGCTTCAGTTTATAGTTAACCGGCTCCACAGTGCGGGGGCATGGCAGAGGGGCATGGCAGAGGAGAAACAGTTCTTGGTAAGCAGAAGACAGAAAAACCAAGCAAGCAAGGGAGCTTGGCAGCTTGTTGCTGTCCCTTTCATACTCTTTATCGAGGCCACTGGGATTAGAGCAGTGCCAAGCCAATCACTCGTCCTTAATCACAGCATCAGGCACTCTAGATCCAGCCATTTCTGAACAGCTTCACCTAAAGGCTGCATGAGGCTTTGAGGGGACATCCAGACATAAGCCATAGCAGTGTAGTGTTCATGAATTTTTTATACATTTCTTTGATATTAATATTGTCAATTTTTCATATTTGTAGGCTTGTTTGATTTTAATTCACATTTCCCTAGTGAAATTGGATGTGTTTTTTCCAATTGTATTATTGTGGTAACATGTAACGTGGTTTTGTATACTAAACTTTGTTTCTTGCTTTTTTTTTCAATTTTTTTTTTCAATTTTTTTTTTGTATTTTTACCGGTACCAGGGATGAAACTCACGACCACACGCTTGCAAGGCAGGCGCTTATGCCGCTGAGCTAAATCCCCAGCCCCATTGCTTTTATTTTTTTAAGGTTGGAATATCTCTCTGTAGTCCAGGCTGGCCCTGAACTTGTGTAAGCAGGCTTGCCTCGAAATCAGGGTCTTCAAGTCTTTCAAATGGTAGGACTATACACTACCACACTACCATACTACCACAATGCTTTTCCTATCATGCCTTTTTTTGTTTTCTTCTTGAGACAAAATCTCACTATGTAGGTCAGACTGGCCTTGAATTCACTGTCCATCCCAGTCTGGTCTCAGGCTCATAGTGATCCTCCTCCCTCTGCTTCCCAAGTGCTAGGACCACACATACGTGCCACCATGCCAGGCCCTTACCTATGTTAGTGTGTGGTTCAGTGGCATTAAGTGTATTCACACTATAGTTCAACCAGTCTTCCGAACACTGAGGTCCTAAACTTACTAATGGTACTTTGCACGCATTAAACAACTTTCCAGCTCCCAGAAACTGCTTTCTGTCTCTGAATCTGGCCACTTAGGAACCTCATATAAGTGGACTCATACAATATTAATCTTTTTCTACTGGTCTCAAACTCAGTGATCCTCTTGCCTCATCAAAACCCTACATCAATTCTTTTTTGGGGGGGTGCTTTTTCCTTTTTATCGGTACCGGGGATCAAACTCACAACTGCCTGCTTGCAAGGCAGGTGCTTATGCCACTGAGCTAAATCCCCAGCCCCCTACATCAATTCTTTCAAGTATATGGCCAGATGTGGATTGCTAAATCATGCAGAGATTAAATTTTGATTTCTTGAGTTAAATGCTGTTTTCCACAGCAGCTCTATAATGTTGTACTCAAAGATGCACAAAGATCTTGCTTTGTTTATATCCTCATCAATATTGTCTGTCTGTCTGTCTGTCTGTCTGCCTGTCTTTCTGTTTCTTTGAGTGGCTGTCCAGGAGAGTGTGAGATGATCTCTCCTATTGCTGTGGATTTGCCTTTCCCTAGTGATTAGTGAGCTTGAGCCTCTTCCCCTTTTTTAGTACTGGGGATTGAACCCAATGTATCACTGAGCAACATTGCTAACCGCAACCACCCCTTTTTAAATTTTGAGACAAGATCTTGGTAAATCACTAACCTGCCCAGGTTGAGATCCAATTTATGATCATTCTCCTTCAGTCTGCCTGAGAGGTTGGATTATAGGTATTCACCCCTGTACTCCACCAGGCTATTGTTTTATTTAACTTTTATAAAATACTTTGTCAATAAAAACTATGAAAGAAGTTTCTGAATATGTATGGTCATTAAGCATCATGTAGCCATTCACCAAAGTATATACACATCAAATCATTTGTATACCATAAAATATACAATTTTCATCTGTTATTTACAAAAATAATAAAAATAAATAAATAAAAAGAATCCTGAATATCTTGGCATGGAATATTGAGCATGTCTAGTAACCCTTCAGGGATTCTCTACATTCCTTTTTCTTGTAGTTTTGGGTTGAAACCTAGGGCCTCATTCATTCTCTGCCACTGAGCTACCCAGATTATCCACTTACTTGATTTCTTTAACTGGGCTATTTTATGACTCAGTAGGCACTAAAATTAATTGGCAGGGGCTAGATGGGGTGGCGCACACCTTTAATCCCAGGGTTTTGAGAGGCTGAGCCAGGAGCATTACAAATTCAAGCTCAGACTAGAAGTTAGAAATTTTTTTTTTTTTTCCATTTTTACCGGTACCGGGGATCGAACTCACGACTGCCTGCTTGCAAGGCAGGTACTTATGCCACTGAGCTAAATCCCCAGCCCCTAGAAGTTAGAAATTTAATGTGACTGTCTGGGGATTTAGCTCAGTGACATAAGCACATACCTTGCAAGTACTTGGTCGTGAGTTCAATCCCCAGTACCAATTAAAAAAAAGAGAGAGATTTAATATCACCCTGTCTCAAAGTAAAAAATAAATAATACATAAAAAGACTGACGATGTCACTCAATGCACAGGTCTTGAGTTCAAGCCTCACTTCTGGGAAAAAAATTTTAACTTATAAATAATTGAAGATAGCACAATACTTTCCTGTTCACAGCTGAACAAAGGATTGCTATTATGCCAATACCAATTATTCCTGTTACTCTCTTGTTTCTCTTATCTTACACTACTTTCATGCAAATCTCTGTAAGTCAAATCCTCATTTGAAATGGCTTAGCATCTCTTTATTGATTCTTTCGTTGGTTAATGTGTCAAAGTCTTTAACATGGTCATTATCATGTGCATATCATGTTTTTGAGTGTTACATTTCTTTAAAA